AATTTTATAATTGTTAATTTTTGTGGGTTTGATTATGAAGAACTGCCCCCCTCACATTTAGTTTATAATAATTACAAAAGTAAAAGAAACCTGGTGTGTTATCTTGCATGATTTCATATAATAATCATCCGGCAAAATTGCATATTAATACACCATCTTTCATGTTTTTGCAATTTAATCACCACATTTACAATTTTGTAAATTAATACACCACCTTTACTATTTTTGCAAATCGATACATGAATGACGGTTCCGTTAACGAAAATCTGACACGGCATTAACGGAACCGTCATTCATGTATCGATTTGCAAAAATAGTAAAGGTGGTGCATTAATTTGCAAAATTGTAAAGGTGATGATTAAATTACAAAAACATGGAAGGTGGTGTATTAATATGCAATTTTGCCTAATCATCCCTAATCTTGCTGTATCACCAAAAAAACCAATTCATGGCCTTCTGATCCATGAACAACAGGCCCACTATTTGTCCAGGTCCATACGTCTCCAGCTCGAGGCCTTCTTCTCATTTGTCCTGTTTCGGGCCGCAAGCCCAGGGAGCCCGCTTCAGCTCCAAGAGGTAGCCGTCGAGGGCATCATAAACTTCTGCCGCCAGCCGACATTTATCGTCGAGGCCTACGCAAATTACGATTGCGACCCCACCTTCCGGAATGTTTTCGAAGAAACGGGCAAGCTCCTCTGCAAGTACGCCTTCCCCACGGGCGGCCACCTCACGAGCATCCAGACTCAGGCCTTCGAGGGCCTCACCGTAATTTTCCAGTACATAGCCGATAACATCGACAAGGAAGACGACCAGACGCCATCCGGCCCTTACCCGGTCGAAATCCCTGCTTACCGACCTTACTGGGCCGAAAGGCCCAGAACGAACGATCACGAGGCATGGGTCGATTACGTTCGGGTCCGCAAGGTGCAGAAAAGAAAGATACTAATAGCCGGCAGCCATTTCAACAGAGACGACAAAAAGGGGCTCGAGTACTTGAAAGTCTCGCGTTTAATATCCGACCCGCCAGACCCGAAAGCATACGCCTTCTTCTTCAGGTACACTATGCTTGTAAACAAAACAAATTTTTTTGATTGAATTCGATATTCGTAGATATTTGATTCGAAATTATCAAATATTCATATAATTATATAAATTTTATAAATTATACATAGTATAAAATTTGTTTATAATGTATATATATATATTGTTATATTCCTAATATTTTTATGAAAAACATCACGAGTTAACAACTTGCCGTATGTAAAACATAAACATATTTTTGTACGTATAATTCGTTTTTAATTATAATATATTTCTGAAAACGAATTTTGAATCGAATCGAATATGTTTGAATATTCTGAACGAATTGAATACGAATTCAAAAAATGAGTTCGTTTCCAAACCGAATACGAATTCGAATCATCGAATATTTTAACGAATCCGAATCGAATATCTTAATATCCGCTCTGATTCGATTCATTTACAACCCTAGGTACACCCCAAGGCTCGACAAGACCATGATCGGGGACTACCTGGGTGACCCGGACGAGTTCCACCTCCGAGTCCTCAAGGAGTTCACCGACACGTTCGAGTTCACGGGCATGGTCCTCGACACAGCCCTCCGAACCTACCTCGAGAGCTTCCGACTCCCCGGGGAGTCACAGAAGATACAGCGCATCCTCGAAGCCTTCTCGGAGAGATTCTACGACCAGCAGTCGTCCGACATGTTCGCCAGCAAGGACGCGGTAATGATCCTCTGCTACTCGATCATCATGCTCAACACGGACCAGCACAACCCTCAAGTCAAGAAGAAGATGACCGAGGAGGACTTCATCCGAAACAACCGATCCATCAACGGGGGGAGCGACCTCCCGCGCGAGTACCTCTCCGAGCTCTTCCACTCGATCGCCACGAACGCAATCAGCCTTGACCAGTCATCGTCGGGCCAGCCAGCGGCCGAGATGAGCCCGAGCAGGTGGGTCCAGCTCGTGAACCGGGCCAAGGCCGCGCAGCCGTTCGCCGCGTGCGAGTTCGACCGGCGGCTCGGCCGGGACATGTTTGCGGCCGTCGCGGGGCCCGCGGTGGCGACGGTGGCGGCGGCCTTCGAGCACTCGGACGACGAGGAGATGCTGCACGGCTGCGTCGAGGCGCTGTTCTCGATCGCCCGCGTGGCGCAGTACGGGCTCGAGGACGTCCTCGACGAGCTACTCGGCTCGTTCTGCAAGTTCACCACACTGCTCAACCCGTACGCGTCGGCCGAGGAGACGCTCTACGCGTTCAGCCACGACATGAAGCCGAAGATGGCCATCCTCGCAGTCTTCACCATCGCCAACATGTTCAAGGACTCGATCAGGGGCGGATGGAGGACGATCATCGACTGTCTGCTGAAGCTCAAGAGGCTCAAACTTCTCCCGCAGTCCGTCGTCGAGCCGGAAAACGCGCCGAACTCGCCCATGCCAGAGCTGAAGGACGCGAGGCTCGGAAACAAGCGGCGAGGCTCGGGAATAATGGCGAGGTTTCTGAATTTCATGTCGATGGAGAGCGTGGAGGAGGCCTTGAACCTCGGGATGGGCGAGTTCGAGCAGAATATGACTATAATACAACAGTGTCGAATCGGGAGCATCTTCAGCACGAGCTCGACGCTTCCTATAGACTCTCTGCTCAACCTTGGCCGTTGCCTAATATTCGCGGCCGCCGGCAAGGGGCAGAAGTTCAGCACGCCAATCGAGGAAGACGAGACTGTCGGATTCTGCTGGGAGCTGATCAGTCTACTGTCGTGCGCCAACGCACACCGGTTCCCAGCCTTCTGGCCCAATTACCACGACTATCTCCTCGAGGTAGCCCAGTTCCCGCTCTTCTCACCAATCCCGTTTTCCGAGAAGGCCATCGTCCATCTCTTACGTACATGCATAAGCCTCCTTGCATCTAACCGCCTCGAAGGCTCGGAAGAGCTCATCTTCAAGTCGGTGAACCTAATGTGGAGGATGGAGAAGGAAGTGCTCGACACGTGCTGCGAACCACTCATCCAGTCGGCCGCTCGAATTATTTCCGACTATCCGGGGAGACTACAGACGCCACTCGGCTGGATGTCGACACTCCACCTTCTTTCAGCCACGGGCCGCCACCCCGAGACATACGAAAGAGGAGTCGAGGCACTAATCAGCCTCATGTCGAGCGGGACCCACATCACGCGCGCGAACTACTCGTACATAATCGACTGCGCGTTCGCGTTCGTCGCCCTCCGAAACAGCAGAGTCGACCGAAACCTTCGGATTATGGACTTGCTGGCCGACTCGGCCCGCCAGCTCGTCGACTGGTACAAGGCCGGGTACTCGGACCCCGGAAGCTTCTCGAGCACTTCCTCGAGCAATGCCTCGGTCGAGGAAGGCGCGCGGATTTACAACCCGGTCAGCCTTTTCCAGCGACTCGGTGAGTCACTCAAGAAAACGAGCCTGGCTCGGAGGGAAGAAGTTCGGAACCATGCAGTAGTCTCTCTCCAGAAGAGCTTTATCCTGGCAGAGGAGCTTTTGTTCACGCCCACAAACTGCATAAACTCGTTCTACAACATAATATTCGCGATGGTGGACGATCTTCACGAGAAGATGGTGCAGTATTCGAGGAGAGAGAATGCGGAGAGGGAGACGAGGAGTATGGAGGGTACGCTGAGGCTGTCGATGGAGGTTTTGACGGACGTGTATTTGCATTTTCTGAAGCCGATTTCGGAGAGTCCTAACTTTAGGACTTTCTGGCTGGGGATATTGAGGAGGATGGACACGTGCATGAAGGCGGATCTTGGGGAGTATGGAGAGTTGAAGATGACGGAAGTTGTCCCGGATTTGCTGACGAGGATTGTGAAGAGTATGAAGGAGAAAGGGATTTTGACGATGGACGGTGAAGATGATCTGTGGGACACGACTTATTATCAGATACAGTGGATTGCGCCAGCTCTCACGGACGAGCTTTTTCCTGAGGGGCAGAAGAATGAGGGTTAGTTAGTGCGTGAGTAAATGTATGAGAGTTCAGTTTGAATGTTGAATAAAAGCGCTTCTGTTTCAATAGCAGAACTGATTGCTTATGTGCTGCTACTACCAGAGAATCTGTGGAAAGTCCTACTTCAACTATTTTCGGCATATTAGGGCTTGAATGCTACCAAAATGAACTTAGAATATTAATGTAGAGGAGAAATGTTCAAAGATAGTTTTCATATGCTACCCATATGCTTTAGAACAAATGCTGTCAATAGATTTTCAACAGTAATGTTAACTGATTCAATACATATATGACGAGTCAAGGCAGTTAAATGTGCAACAATGAGTACCAAAGAGAGAAAATAAAACCACGCCGTACTATCATTGGTGACAAGGGAAATTGAACAAAAGAGGAGAACGGTAACAATGACAGCTATTTGAAGGAAGTAATAAATGTGTTTATATGGAAACAGACGAATGTATATGCAAGCCTAAATTTGGAGATAAACTTAAAAGATGTATAATTCTGAGAGTTTAAAAACAGCAGCAGCCACAAATAAATGGTCGTATTCATCATTCAAGAATTTTCTTAATTTTGTGGCTTCCAATTTAGAGCTGTGAATCGCGACTCGATATTATTTTAGATAAAAAATAAAATAAAAAAGATTATATGGGTTCTTTTTAAAGCCGGTAAATACCAATAATGGAACCCCAAATTTGGATTGCACAAGTTGCATTTTCAGTAATCACAAATTAATTAGCACCGGTTTAAAAGAGAGAAATGTACTGGTAAGTGAACGAAAAGAAATAACCACATTCAAAAGCTCAAGAACTTCAGGGAAGTAGCTAATGAAGGTACAACTTACAGGAACGTTATTGGATCGTCCATGAATTTATCCTCATGTTTGAAAAGCTTTTCCTGCTCATTATATCAACCTTATTGATCTGTCAAATAATAAATTCGACAGTTTAGAAGCAGATACAATGTATTGGGACCATATTTTACTTCATTGACCTTGTTAATACATATAAACTGGAAACAACTGCCCGCATCATGCTTATAATACATCACATAAACTGGATCTGATAAGAATAACTAGCAAGAGATTATGTACATAACCTGTTCTTTATCACTGTACTCTGGACATCTCCCAAGCATATGGTATGAAATATAATATAGCCTGCATCACACAATAGACGAGACGGAAGAGGTGGATCTTCTAAAGGAAGTAAGATTTATCAATTATGAGAAGCCATAAGGATTTATGTAGGAGAACAAGAATCTGGGAATTTCCACGGCTAACCACGATGATTTGACGTTATGCAATCAACTGCAACAATAATCTGTGTAAAGATCATGGTTATGATAGAATCATAGAACAAGCGAAGAACAAACTTCTTGCCTACAAACTTTGCTTTCTTTTCACCAGTTTCCATAAGTAAAGAGTTTTTCCATCCATCCACTAAAGTGATGAATGCAAGTAAGACAAGAACATCATCTGTCTGCTAATAAAAGCATGGCTCTATTCCATCAAAACATCAGTTAATGCATTAATGAACAAACCAGGTTTTCTTGCAGATAACCCAAACAAAAACCATGCTGAGCGGTTTGGCTTCTGAACCTGACTAATATGACGGAGGCTGAAACAAGTAAAGAAAAATGAAAAGGGAAAGGAATGCAAGAAAGAAATAGAGTAAAAAAGAAGCACCGCACAGTAGGTTAAATAGTGTTGTTGACGTTTAATTTAAACCATCTTCTTGTAGTGAGAATACACACGTCTATTGCAAACGACCTTTTTCATTGAAAGAACTGAACTACACAAGTTATTTCTGCAAAACTGTTCTACAATTACTCATTTGCTTTAACTTACAGGAGAAATGAAAAAAAAAAAAAACATTATGTTGGGATAACACTAATCATACAACACTGCAACCTAGTTTAGTTTTCTTCTCATGATCTCATCTGAAACGGAATGACGAGTTCTTCCAAATCAAAGAAAAGCCCTGCAGAAGGATGGAATCAAGATTCCAAGCTTTTCTGGTCCCTCATGCCTAAGAGTTTCTCACTTTAATAACACTGCACTGGTTCAAAGTCCATCGATAGTGACAATGAAGACCGAATTCAAGCCTTTTCATCCAGTGGGGACCAAAATTCAATCAACCGGAAAATGAGAACCCCCAAAATCCACTTCATTATTCTTCAAACGCACGTGTACATATCTTTTCTAACAACACTGGCCAGTCCTCACCTAGCCTCTGTGGATTCATCTCCATAGCAACCCTAAAGTCCTGCAACAAAATCCGGACATCGATTTTATCATGCTTTTTACGTTCTTGGTGCTTGCTCCTGACATCAATCCTACCGAATTCACCTCCCGACCTCGACCCCACAAGATCAACACAAAACTTAATTAACCCTCTCATGTAACAATCCAAACCGTGATTCAGCACATCAGCACAGTCCAAAGACACCCCTTCTGCTAACCCCATTTCCACAGCAATATGATCCATTCGTTCTCTCAGTGCATGAGAGTCCAACAAAGCACCATCACACAATGTCCCGACCGACCAACGATGGGACCCACCTACGCTAGCAGGACAGAACAGAAGCCCCAGGGGAGCTCGTATCGGGCTCCTCGAAGGGGCATTTTCGTCATTTTCGCTATACAAGGGAGCAGGGCCAACATGCCCAGTCTCTGCCAGCTGAACAAGTTCTTGATGATGCTGCATCGGGTTCATATCCCCGTTTTTGGATACAACGTTGGGACCCGCCATTTTCCCATTGGGTAAACCGGGCGAATGAGAAAGGTGAGTTGTGCTGATGATGTGGGACCCGTTTTTCTGGTGACCGTCAGCTAGAATCTCCTTGCGGTTGACTTTGTTTGAAATATCGTCCTTGTGGTGATGATTGAGGAATGGCGGCGGGGTTTTGGCAGTACAGCTGTTTCGCAGTATGGAACGAATGAGCTGGTTGTGGAGAGGGATATTTTGCCAACCGAGAATTCTTAGACAGAGCTTATTGAAATCGGGCTTGCTCAGTTTCAAGCTCAAGAATCTGTGCAGGTAATGGAAATACTGTTTGGACATATCTGGCCCTAATTTCTTCACTATTTGGGCTTTCAACTCGTCAAGATTGATGCGCGGGTGTTGATGGGGAGGTTTCATCACTATACAACTTGCTCCTTCTGTCTTTATATCTTTTTTACGCTTTAAAATTCCATGTAACAAAATACACAACAATGATACAGAACCATAAATCAAGTTAGGGTTGTTTTGCTCCATTTCCAAAAACCCATTCTCCAAAAAATGCTTAATCTGTTCAATAGCAACCTTAACAGGGTTGTATTAAAACCCCTCTCTCCAGACTTCAGCTTCAATGCACTATTGGTAATAGGAGGGAGTTCAAATCCATGAGATCTTGATATACTCTCAATTAAACTAACTCTCCCTCCAGAAAACTGAAACTTCAGGATATTATAAATTCTTCAACTGTCGACGAGCAAACCTTGAGAACTTAGCACAAAACCCCTTTATTGACCAAAATCTCGAAAACAAAAACAAGAAACCTCACTCAAACTCCAAGTTAGACCTCCACAGTTTTACCAAGAATTATGAAAATTGAACAACAGCCCAAATGCCAACAAGCAAACCAAAGATTGCAGCTGGAATCTCAACTTCAACTTCAGATTTCAAGCTCAAAATGAGAACTTGAAGAATAATGAATCAAATGAACATAAAGATTCAAACTTGAAAATAAAAATAAGGACTTCACCGAGACGATGAAATTGTTGGGCACAACTTATTGAAGCTCCAACAATTTTAGATTCAGGTAAAAAATTTAAAATTACCACAAACAACACTCTCACCACAGATTTTTCCTTTCTCCTCTCAATCTCCTTACTTATCATCTGAAACCCACGTAGCTTTTCCCGACATTGCTCCGTATCCCTTCAAAAATTTGCTTCACATTCGCTGTATTGCTCTCTGTATTTTCTGTCAAGAAAACATTTCTTCGAATCAGAAAATTGAGAAGACAGACCCCGTTTCGTGGTTCTCTCTGATCGCTCTCCTCTTCGACACTCCCTTTCTCTCTCTTTCCTCGTATTGTATTTTATTAGAAAGAACTCTATTCACTAATTTTGTTCAAAAGTACAACTTCCAATGCATAAGGTATGATAATAAAATGTTGTACACCATGCTATCACAATAGTACCTGGTTCTGGCTGAGGAGAAAACAGTTTGGTATTATCAATTTTCCTATTATGGAAGGATTTTTAGTATTTATTGATGGTACGTGCAATTTTAGCTGTGAACAACACTCGCCGACTCATTGGCGACTACAATATGGCGCGTTCTCATGTGATTAGTTCCAACTATCATTGACCTAAACTGCGTTTATCAATGTAACTAGTAAATATCATGTGCACATGCACAGGTACACATAAATATTATAAATAATATTTAAGAATTTAATATTAAAATTTTAGATAATGAATATAATACGTTTTTAAAATTTAATTATTAGAAAAAATAAATTAATGATTGTTTATTATTATGAACAATTGTTTATTATCATTAGATAATAGCAGTTTGATTCTACACCACTCAAGGTTGAGTGTTTTTTATTGCTAGGTTATTTATTTCAATGCAACGGGTCGACGCCGGAAGTCAACGGTCAACGCCGGAAGTCAACAGTCAACGCCGGAGTCAACTAATAATTATTTTATTATTTAATTAATGTATATTTTAATTGATTTTGATCTAGACAAAATGAGTGGCTAAAATTGAATCTCACGTACTCATTTTAAGGAATGGTCTCATTGGATCCATCCCCTATATATATATATATATATATTTAAATTGCCAACAAATTTTGCTGGCTTTAATTGGTTTAATTGCAATGTATTTGAAAAGGTTTAATATTAATTTTTAAGAATTTATTAAAAATACTAATATACTATGAAGTTTTAATTTACATCGACTCACCCTCTGTCTAATGTTAATATTGTTCGTCAAATTATGGACAACAAATAGAGACATATGTCGATCAAAGATATCTGACGTATGAAATATGGTTCAATAAAATTTATCAGTTATGTTACTTAAGAGCATTCACAATGTTTTGGGTTCAATCACAAAAAAACATATGCCACATAATACATAGACTCAGTCTAACAAAAATCCCCTCTTAATATAATTTGAAAACGTGCTGAGCCTAGATAGCTGCTTCGCACGCTTCGGAAGCTTATTTGGCAACATTACATGTTTCGGCTTTTGGTTCGGATCATTTCCTAATTGTTTAAAATAAAATACTTAATAAATAAGATTTTTGCTTAATCTGATCCCTCCAACTCGCAAATAAATCCCAAATTCGGATCATTTCCTAATTGTTTAAAATAAAATACTTATTAAATAAGATTTTTGCTTAATTCGATCCTTCCAATAAATAAATAAGATTTTTATATCCCGTATAAATCCTCCAACTCCAAAATAAATAGAATTCTTATCTTATAAAGCTCACTTGACAGTGTTCTTATCTTATATGTCGTGTAAAACCTAATAAAAAATTTAACTTTATATATTATTTTATTTATATAATTAATGTAAACAATAATTTTTTTTATACAGTTTAAATTAAAAAAAAATACTATAATTTTACAAAAAAATATATAGCCACTTGTATATTATATATTTTTAATTAAATAAATTATTTAAAATCTTTTTAGAATATCTATAAAAATACATTGAAATAGTTATAGAATATTACATGATCTTTCTAATATATTTTAAGGAGTTGACATAAAAATAAAATAAATTTTGATGAACACCATGGTAAATAAATTATATAATTTTTTTTAGAATATATATACAAATACATTGAAATATTTATAGAATATTACATGATCTTTCTAATATAGTTTAAAGAGTTGAAATAGTTATAGAATAACATGTGTTTTTTCTATTATTTTATGTTTTATATTTTTTTTTTCAAACAACCCGTGTAGTACACGGGTGTCGTACTAGTTATTCTTCAATGAAAATAAATGTAGACTGGATCCCGCTGATGTGGCAGCCAGAAAAAGAGACCTGGTCTACCCTTAAGTATATTTTAAACCCAAGTAGAGACCTAGTCTCTTTGCATTGGAGTAGATTTTGTTAATTATACATAATTTTATCCATGTCATCCAAGACTTGAGTTTATTTACATGCCACATAAGCAAGACTAGACCCAATGCATTGTAGATGCTCAAATACACGTAGGTAAAGTAAGTTGCTGATAAAAGAAAAAAAAAAGTAAGTTGTTGATGTAATTGCATATAACTGCTGACATATGATTAAATAAAATTTAAGAAATTTTACATATGTGGCATTTTTCCTCCAATAACCGTTACAATATAATATAATACTATTAATATTATTATTTTTACATTAATTCACCCTATCTCATTAATGATAAAATATTTCTTTGCACCTTTTTTTTATAATTAAGACAAAAATCGTTACATTTTAAATTGATTGAGTAATATTATATTTTTTATTGTATCATATAATAGTTATTATTAAAATTAGTAATTATATTTTCCACTAGATGTTATATGAAAGTTACATAAATCTAAGAATTATATTATAAAAACTTTTTGTTTAAGTTGCTTATTCGGAAATCAATATTACATTTTTTTTATTTGATTAAGCGATTATTTTTAAATAAATTAATTCATTTTAATGTCATAGTAAATTTCCTTAAACTCGCATAAGTAATTGTTATAATAAATTCAATATTTTCTAATGACAACTAAAAATTAAAAAAATTGATATTGATTCCAAATTAAAAAATTGACAATGCAAAGCCCCAAGTTAAATAGTGCAATATTTATAGATCTAGTTATGTTATATCATTTTATTTTTCAATTTTTATATTTAAAATATAAATTAAAGAATAAAAAATTTAGATCAAGTGGTTAGAATTAAGTGTAATTAAATTAAAAAAATAATTAAAATGTACATATATGAAATTAAACTATGAGTTATCTTTATTATATTTGTATCGCTTGTTTCAAGTATATTCACTTTATTATTTAAATGTTTATATTAAGATATTTACAATACAAAATTTGTGAGAAATAATTTTTAAATGTTATTTTTGAAGTCATTCGAATATTATGATAATTTTCAGAATCAACCATCTAATTTTATTATATGCAAATATGTATATCTATAATATTTCTACCAAAATAATCTTTTATATCCAAATAGCTTACGCAAGCAACGCTATTTATGCTACGTAATATAAAGTCCAAAATGCGATGCATTACGCTATACATGTTTTAAAACACTAATTGTAATACACTATTATACAGTTAATAAAAAGTCCGGATACTCAACCAAAAAACACAATTACTATGTCTAGTTAAAAGAAAACACCTGCATTTGCTACAAGTAGCCAGTACCAACATGTTTCATGCACATCACCCTTCACATCACAAAATTTGAGCAAATCATGCAACACATCAATTAATTATCAAACCTTAGAAGTCAAACATAATCCAGTCAAAGTCTCATCTTCAACTTTTATCACACAAACACACAAATCCAACCACATTATGCAGAGTCAAGCAGAAAAGAAAGAGGGCACACATTAACACAGCTCCAAATATAAACATGTTACCATTATCTTTCACTTGCAATCGAACGATCTAGAATTCCCTATCCGGAAACAAAATCGGCGCTACAAGAGACCATATGAACAAAGCAGCAGTTGCCCAACCAGTGACAATACGGACCCACACAGACGGCCAACCGACATCCACCAATTTCCCGCTCTCCCCCACAGAGGTCGACCAACCGGTAAGAAGCATGGCAGAGTACATGCTGGCCAGAGAGAAGATTAAGTGGAAAAAGGAATATGAATATGTGACGGCCTTCGACTTCTCTTCCTCCTCACGATGCTCGTCCGCCTTATCCAATGGCAGTAGAGGCTTTCCAGAACCTTCCACACGAGAAAAATAAACAAATTATATTGGGAATAACGTATTTCCTGCTGCTTGTTACATTCAGACACCATTCAATTGCCTGGGAATTGATAGTTGATAGATGGTTCTAATAAAAAATTGAATAATTACTTCAATAGTGCTATGTTTGGTAAAACTAGCTGATAGCTTATCAGTAATTTTTGAGCTTATAGCTTATGACTTATAGCTGAAAAACTAGCTTCTATGATAAAAGTGTTTGGTAAAATTAGCTGATAAGCTAGCTGAAATAAAAAATTCAGCTAGCTTATTTGAAAAACTACCCAAAGAAGCTTATGAGATAAGCTCGAGCTTTTGAAAAAAACTCGTCCTACCAAACGACGTTTATTTAAATACAGGAAGCATATAAGCTAACCAAATAAGCTATAAGCTGGCTTATTTGTCTACCAAACATAGCCTAATAAAAAGCAAACTCCAATTTTTTTTTTTAATTTTTTTTTTCTAACATTTAGAAAAACTTTCTTCATGATTGTGTCTCCTTAACAAATATATCCCATATATTCTGGAGAGTATATGTAAATATTTAAAAACGAGCAAGTGACCTGCACGGGGTGAGGTTGGAGGAGAGAGCAAAGTAGTAGAAGATCCGGCACGAACAGCAGAGTAGACGACAGAGAGCACAGTTGTAAGCAGTCCAAGAGCAAGACTGCTACTGGAAACAGCTTTAGAGTGCCTGTGAAGCCCATTGCATTCATAGTCCCTGGGCTCGCTTGCAAGCCCACTATAGCACAGGTACATACAGTACAGTGATATAACCGAAGCCGGCAAAATACTGCCGCCCACCTATAATACGACAATGTGGGTATCAAAATTCAAACCGCAACATCGTAACTGATAGAGACTAAAATTAAAGTCATATCAAAAGGGAATTGTTAGTTACAGACGTCAGTTAAACCAAATGCAGAACATATAGCTTGTCCGCCTTTAAAAAGTCCTTTCACCATTCAAGGTATACGGTTTACTTGAGATAATGCTCAGAGTATGTTCATTTCTAATGTTCATATCTGTCCTGCTATATAGATGACAATTAATTGATCTCCATCCCTATTTCTCAAGTGTACTGAAAGAGCTAGTGTTACCCAAATCATCCTTTATTTGGACCTTATACATTGCATTTGAAATTCTAATAGCTGGCAACAACCATAAGACAGCACTCCGCTAATGGGATGATAGGAAGAGCAGGATAAAATTTCAAGAGATCATATTATCCTCAGTTCCTCACACATAACGTCATAACCAACTCAAGTTTAACCCTTTTACTTTCAGCAAATACAAAATCGGATCAACATTCATCTGAAAATCTAGCTTGTTATAAAGCATAAGTCATTGTACAAGAAAAGGTTAATAGTTTACATAAACAACCATGAATAAATTTACAAAGATAAATTCTATACAACTAAAAGAAGTTCCATATAACTAGAGGAAGTCTGGATACTCACTGATGGATGCAGTGTGGCAACAGCAAACACGAACACAAGAATCAAAGTCATCACAATGAAGAAAGTGTTGAGGCCACAATCATGTCCTGAAGGGGTAAAGAGATAGAAGAGAAGTCCTGAGAATGAAAAGGTAGCCACATAACATACAAGTGAAACAACAAGCAAAGCCATGTACCTGCAAAATGCAAACAGATTACAGATAGGACATTAACTGATCAAGAACAATAGAAATATCTTCAATCGTTCTTGTAAGATAATGTGGAAATAATAAAATTATATAAAAAAAAAAAAAAAAAAAAA